CTGTCCCTCATATTTTCAGTTGTGAACCCATTTTCAGGAAAATCTGTTATAAATGGAAAGTTAATGAAAGTTTATTATTAAACTGTCCTTATTTTTTTCTGTCAGGATAAAACCAACTAAAAAGACATATGCAACTTTGGTGTTACTGACATTTCAAGTAAGAGAACAGAATTCATTGTTATTTCCAAATACAAATGACCCAGGAAAACAAATATGATTTTTAGGTTCAACATCTATTTCCCGAGGGAGTCAAACCCTATCTAATTTCTTAGCAATGTCATATATTCTATTATAATGTTATAGGAAAGCATATATAATTGAAATCTATTACACAGCTATTCTTTATGCTTACTTGCAAGAGCAGACTTATAAATTTATCAAATGTATATATATATATTAAGTATGGGGGATATATACAATAGGTAGCTTTTTTCCTCTAAGAAATGAGGTGATGGAATAACTACTAGCTTATAGTGCAAGCAGTGTTCTCACTTTATAACATGATGACTTTTCAAATGTTGAGAGTATAAAATTTCTTAATTACATTTTTAAGTAACAGGAAGTTCTACTCTAGGAAATTTTCGATAATTATAATAAATAACATGTACATGAGCTGCACAACATGTAATTAAAAATGATAATATATAGCACTTAACAAATGCTAGGCACTATTCTACATATTTTATATATATTTATTTAATCCTCACAACTACCCTAAGAAGTCGGAATTATTACTAACCCTACTTTATAGCAGAGGAAACGAGCACAAAGAGATTAAATTTGAACAAAGAGATTAAATTTGAGCCTGGCTCTAATTCTGGACCCTTAACTACTATGCTATCTCCTCTCCAGTATAGGAAGAAAAGATTTGGATTCCTATTTTATTAGAAAATATTCTTAAAGAACAGCCTTGCTTGCTGAGATAGACCATGTAAATTATACTACAGTATTTAATCAAATCACTGCAAATTTCACTTGATTTCCATTAAAATGTTAATTTACTTATCTATAGAAGAAATCAGGAACACAAGAATTAAGGGAAATTATAAATAAGTATTTTCCAAATTCTACCTAATAGGTAGAAGGCATGGAATGGTTTAAAGTGAGTTTCTGACACTAACTTTTCATCATAGGAAACTTGTTAATATTGCTTTAAAAATCATATATAGAAGTATTTGCAAACAAAAAGATAACAAACAAAAAACACTTAGAATTCCTTGGAATATTGTAAGGACCGAGAGCTTGACGGCACACATTTATAGTAATCTCAGGGACTCTCACGCTCTTGAGGAAGGAAAGCTTGTTAACACAGCCTCTGATAACAGCAACACAAAATGAGCTTTCTGCGTGCCATACTGACATTCCTTTTAGAATATCACACTTCCAAATTCAAAATGATTCTGGGACCTTTCTACACTTTAATTTGTCACTTTTAGTGAACAATTCTTGAGTCTATAGGCTTTACTTAACCAAATGCCAATGCATACAGAAATAGAATTTGGTAGACAACACTGCTCTGCAGCAATGATATAAGTTCCACACCTAAATTAAGCACCTTAGTCATAAGATGGTAAGAGCAGTGCTGTACAGTATCTTCCTTTCATGAAACTGACTATAGACCCACTATCTGGGTGAAATCTAGTTCAGCTGCTTTCACTAATGACAAAGATGGGTTGGGTTTCTACATTCTTACCTGATTTCCAATGCAATTGGAAACTCCATATGACAAATACGTTGTCATGGAGTAATACTGTCTCTGGGAGTTCTGTCTTTAAAAGGTCAGTGGCTAAATCCGAACTTAGAATTCTAGACTCATTAACATCACACTGTAAGATTTAAATGTAACCCACCAGACACAGACCAATTAACAATCGATCACTATTTCTCAGAGAAACTTTCAAAATGGTAATAGTTTAATCAAAATAAGAACCCAAGATAGTAAGTCATGTATTATGACTACATAAAAGTTTATAGTTTAATCTATGCCATACATTGTTAAATATAATTTAAACTTGCAGGAATTATGCGTCATGGGCATCTGGGACATAATAAAATCCACTGCATTCAATATATATTTAAACATTTAAAAAATCACTCAAATACAAATTTCAGTATACAGAATTGAGTACAAAATAAAGGCAAACTAAACGGAAAGTGAGAAATAGGGCTGAATTCACATATTAGTCAATTTTTCTACAATCTCACACTTTATAGCAGTGATCAGAAGTAATGATATGGATAATCTACATCACTTATTTGCCCAATAGATGTATTGAGGTCAGTAATAATTTACGTTATCTGGTAGTCATTGGACAGCAGAGAGTGTAATGCACAGGAAACATTATCCACGTGCATGAAATAAAAACAAATACATGAACAATGTATATATACTCAGAGGCAAATAAATGTGCATGAAAACAGAGTTGTACTATTCTTTTTATTCTTGGTTTGATTTTCATGTTTAAGGAACGAAATAAGCAGATAGCAGAATGTGATAGCAGAGTGTCTATATACTCTACTAAAATCAATGTAAAGATGCAAAGGAGCCTGAAAGAGAAGGATATATATGTGAATCGGGTCAATATGAAATTTACAAACTGTAAAATATTTCTGCAGCCTCAGTGCTTTAGGCAGCCTTCCTCCAAACATACTAGAAAGACACACATGGAAAGGACAACCTCTAATACATCTAAATTGATTAACCCTCAGAAGTCATTAAGAAAAATTAGCCTAAAGAGATCATGAAGGACATCTAAAAGCTCATAATCCTCAATAATTTTGTACATAATAGTGAAATTGGGAAACAATGATAAACTTGGAAGACTGAAAGAGCTAAAGTAGAAAATATAAATATGATGACAATGAAACTGATCTTGTGGGGTGGGAATGAGTAGGTTAGACAATAATCTAACAAGATTATATGACCTGTAGCTAATAAGATCATCTGACCTAGACTTTACATATAAAGAAACATATTAAAACAGAACTTATTGGAAAAATAAAGTATTTGTGTGTTAAAGGAATGTACTTCATATACTTATTTATTGAGTTTTTACAGTATGCCAATAATGCTATAATGCTTAAAATTTTTAATATGATATTCCTATGTTTGAAATAAAAGATATAAAATCCAGCATAATTAATCTTGCCAGGGCTAAATAATCAAGAAATAAACTGGAAATTTTTTAAGTTTCATAAACAGTATAGTAAATAGAAAAATTTAAGATATTCAGTTATGAAAGGTGTCCTTGAGTAGGTGACAACATAGCTAAGTTATCCAATGGCTCATTTTAAGAAATAGATGAATAGATAAAAGAAAATATGGTATATGTATACAATGGAATATTATTCAGCCATAAAAAGAATATCTTGCCATTTGTGATAACATAGACAGACCTCGAGGGTATTAATTAAACTAAGTGAAATAAGTCAGACAGAGGAAGGCAAATACCATACTATTTCAATTAAATTTGGAATCTAAAAAACAAACAAACAAAAAAACCCAAAAATTCATAGATACAGAGAACCTTTAGATGGTTGCCCGACGAGAAGAGGGTTGGAGGGTTGGGTGGAAAAGGTGAGGAGATTAAGTACAAAGTGGCAGTTACAAAATAGTCACAGGGATATAAAGTACAGCATAGGGAATACAGTAATGTTGTAATAACTATATATGGTCCCAGATGGGTACTAAACATAGTGGGGGGATCACTTCGTAACTTATGTTAAAATGTCTAACCACTATGTTGTACACCTGAAACTAATTTTGAATGTCAACTGTAAATGAAAAATATTTATTTTTAAAATGTCAACAAATCCAAAAAATTCATTAAATCCAACAGCATGCTCTTTCTTCTCAAAGCTAACTGGGCAAATGAAGTTACAGAGCTCCTAAAGAAATAACTCTATGTAAAAATAAATAACTATAGACATCCCAAATTCTTAGGAAGAAATTATAATTATAATAAAAATATGATGATTCATTATAGGGTCAGTTTCTTTCTCTAAAAACAAGAGAGCTAATGTTCTTTATTAAAGTTGTTTTGGTTACCTCTTCCATAATTTGTAGGCTTTCAATAAATGTATATTGAACTTAAGATATTAGTCAAACAAAGAAGAATTAGTGATCAGGTTAGTTCAAGAGCTTTGGCTTATATCATAAATTTGAGGAGTGCAAAATTAGATCCTGATGAAAAGCTATGATTTGTTTCACACATGATTTATAAAGCACTACTCTGTTCTAAAAATCCAAAGTCTCTTTTTACATGAAAAAGTTGTAATTATTTATTCAGAACAATTGGGGACTCGCTGGTCATTATAATTTTGCATAAGGTTTTACAAACTCTTAAGAAAGTAGAGCTTGGGATGTTGTGTTAGTATATATTCTCCAAACATGAAAGACACAAGTTTATATGACAGTATAAATAAGAAAGATTATATAGAGTATAAATAAATAAAAGATTTATTGGGAAATTATTAAGTGCCAGACAATTTATTACTCCATATGACCCTTACAATTATTTTAAAATAGGCATTATCCCCAGTATTGCATATGCAGAAACAAAAGGTAAGAAGAGAAAGTGTTGCTTAGTGTTACACAACAAGTAAGTAGCAGAGATTATTTATAAGTCATGACTTAAACTCTAGGTCCAGTGATCTCTCTATCACACACCCTCGCTGCACACTTAGGGATATAAGTTTGTTTAGGGATATCAGTTTGGCAGTAAGACCATCTAAAAGCAATACCACCATCTGAGGTCAGATCAGATTAAGGGACGATGCTGGGAGGGAAAGGGTGTTCCTTCTTAAACTAATAGAGGAACTGTGTCACATATAAAATCTGGATCCATGCTAAACAGATGAACAGTTTCACTGCTTTCTGTTCTGAGACTTCAAATACTTTTGTTGCCACTATATTTTATAAAAACCAGTCACTTATTATTACATGCAAAAGTAAACTACAAATAAATTATCCACTTAGATTCCTCATTGATTTCTGAAGAGGTAGCTCTATAGGTAGGTTGGGTATACACGTGTCTTTTGACAAAAATATTTTACCATTCACTAAAGTGATAACATAGATACGGCAATAAAAAGACATAGTTACTAGACTTTTAACTTGTCAAGATTTAAAGTTGTAATATTTTGCAGTTAAAAAAACAGGAACATCTCATATGTTATATGTAGACAAGATAAGTGTACCGAGTATTGCTATATGTTTTGTTTTCAGTCATGAATTAGATATACAAATATATGAATATTCTTCCATTATAGTCTTCCATTAATTAAATATGCTACTGAAAGATAAAATTATATATCAGTATAAAAAATATATATTCTAGTTATACATAACTTTTACAAGGGTATAAAAGAAAAAATTATTTTCATGGATTAGTTCCAATCTATGAAAGACTCAGTCAACACCTTGAATCATACTAAGCAGCATGGTTTAGTAGATGTTGAAGTGAGTTCTGATTTATTCTGTAAATCATCTGCTCACATTTTCCTACTTATCTCTAGCAATCAATGAAGCAAAAATATAAATAAATAAGCAATTAAGCCCCTAGCAAGAAATTTAACAAAAGGTTAAATTTGAGTTCTATGTTTGATAAATGAAAAAATCACAGAGTAAAAGCATGTGGAAATTGTGTCTGTGCTAAAACATTCCTTGTAGAAATGTATGGCTATCAATTACCCAGTGAAAGGCACTCTAAGCAGCACAGAAAAGTGTGTAGCTCTACCGGTGAAATTTAAAAACAAGGGCTCTAAAAGAAGAGCAGAGAAAGAAAAAGAGGGGAGAAAAAAAAGAAGAGAGAAAAAGAGGAAAGAGAGAAAAGAGAGAGGGAAGGGAAGAAAGAGAACATAAGGGGTTGGAGGGAGAGCAGGGAAAATAATCAGAAAATTAGCTAAAGACAGATAGGAATATAAAGATTTTGAAAAAAAAATTATCAAGATGGAAAAGTAGCTAAAAGCCAAAAGAAGGTAATACAATTTACAAGTTCCAAAATGAAGATTACCTAAAGGCAGACAGCCTAAGATTTTGCAGCTCTCTCAACACTGAGAAACGATTAAATGACACAGTTCTGAATGCTGGGACTAAGAAACGTGAAAGGGATCTTCGGGTCCATAGGTGAAATGATTGTATCGTCTATAAACCAAAAATTAGGTTTACTGAAAATTAACAGAACTCTTTCAGACCCACCAAGAACATTTAAATATGTTCTATCTTTTCATGAGATGAAATTTTGTGTTTTCTAACTATCAGGAAAATTAATCCTAAGGCAAATGCAAACACCAAAGCTAGAATTCAGAAATAGACAGCTCATTAAATAGGCATTCATGGACTTAACTGAAGGACTGGCTGAAGATTAATTGAAGGAGAAGCAGGTACCTGGTACAATACTGCATAGTAATTTTTCAGATGTTTTACTTCCCCAGGGTGCCTTGGCTTCAAAATATTAACATATCACTGCCTTAATCTAAACTTACCAAGCCAAAGTAGTCTTAAGTCCTTTTGCTCTAAGCTAATAATGAATTCAGAAAGAATAACTGAGAACCAAAGTGGATAGTCATATGTTTTGGTACAACTAAATTTGTAATTAGTTGGAAAAAAAAGTATTACACTTACTCATACCACTGTTTATTGTGTTTTCGGTAAAGCAACGTATCCAAGGCAACAGCTTTGACATCCAGAGCTCCTGGGGAAGGCCACTGGTTGGTGAGGTGGGCAGTTAACTCTTGTCTTGATCTTAAATCATTATTCTTTAGCACAGTCCTGTGAATATTAAGATGGTGAGTGCTTTTGTCTTCATTGTTCTGCAATGGCAGAGGAACCTAATGGTATCAATTCAGGCCCCCAAAATTCATCTTTGTAAATGGTATGTTAACAGACTGTGAACAAAACTACAAAAAGGCTAGTTGGGACTATGACTTGTTTCTTGTCATACATGTTTCTCCTTCTTTCTCTGCTGGCTACAACAAATCTCTTGTGAATTCAGACTTCCTGTCTTTTACACAGAGATACTACTGAAAGATGAAAGGACTCAAGCTGCATTTTACATCTTAACTAAAAAACAATGGTGATATCTTAAAGCTTTCAGTTATCAGATGCTAGTTAAAATATGAAGGAAAATAAAAATCTCATGTGTGTGATTTCCTAGATTCAAACTTCACCAATCAATAAAAGTAATTTAACTCAGTAAAAAAGTTAAAATGAATTAAAAATAAACTAATACAGAAAAATATAAAATAAAAAATCCATGAGGTTTCTGTAATTGTTTTTGATAGAAGTGACTACTAATATATCTTCATGAAAATAATTACGTCAATCAAAACTGCACTGAACAATATAATCCACTGGAAATATTTCAACTACAGAATAAAGCCATTATAACAATTCATGGTTTCCTTTCATTTTTGTAGAACTCTTATTTGTTAATAAGAACTTGCAAAAGATAGCTTTTTGCCAAATTTCAACTTCACAAACGAACTGATCATTGTCACAATACCAATTCGACATTTGAACTGGTGGTTAAAGATAAAAGTATAATTCTATTTGCAAAGGTCTTATTCTACCTCTAAAAGACCTTAAAATGCTACATAGGCAACAGGAGTCTATGATGTTAGTGGACCAATGTTTCTGAGCCGTCAGCTCAGAAGCAGGAACATGTGTCTGCCACTATTAAGAGACAATAGTCCCGTTGTGGGTGGCAGAGTCAACTGTGTGCTTAGCAAGACAATCCTGCACTAGAGGAAATCAACCTGCACACATCTCTGGCTGGGAACATGATTCTAATGGAATAACCCCATTTAATATATCTCTAATGGGCTACATATGAATAGTTCTGATTTTACCGGGTTATCTGCATGCATTTATAAATATTTGTTCCTCTGTGTCCACAAGAAATATCTGATGTAAACGCTAGCTTCTCTCTCAGAACGAAATACAAGTGAAACAGGCAGAAGTTATGAGAGTGTATCTCATTAACATAGTCTTTTAGAGTAGGTCGAATGATTTCATTTCACTGGAAAAGAACTGAAAAAATTTTAAAGGACTATCAAGATACTTTAACATTGCTTTTAATGAAAACAGTAATGAGTTATTAGGAAAAAATTAAGATTGACAGAAAAACTGTGTAAAGCAGAAATGGAGATTACTGGTCAGAGAATCTATTATAATAAAGTACCATTATTTTGGGTTCTCTTACTAGATTTTACACATATTACCCCTCTCTAGGGTCTCCAGTGAATGTCACTGGAAAACTCCACTCCAATGTCATAACTGGCTTATAGGAAATACTGAGAGCAGAATGTGAGAAAGACAAATATGTATCTGTGTGGAAATGACATTGGTAGAACTCAGTTAATGACAAGTACTTGAACAACCTCCAATTTAGAATATATTCTTTCTAGAAAGTAAAAAGTTTTACACTATATAAACTGGAAACAGCAACTGAGGTTTCATAAAAGGTTTTATACATTCTTTGCCCATGAAGAATTTTTGCCTAAAGACAAATTAAGGTATCGTCTTTCGACCTTTATGTTTAGAAATCATAATGATATTGTTTTCTGTGGTTAGCTGCATGGTCCTCTGAAACAGGAGGTAAGAGATTTCAGTGTATTGACTAGGCACAGTTTCCATCCATGCCACATCTGTTTTCCACCTTTTATGAGGAATGTAGAGACAGTAAAATCCTGGCACTTGCCATGTCACTATGAAAAGGAAAAGTTCCTGGAGGACCCCTGCGTAGGGCTCTTCGTTTTACCCCTCCACTACAATAGGAGGCAGGCATGTGAATTAAGTGAGGTTGAAAATCCCATTCCTGAATGTTGAATCTTGGCTGGAGTCTATCTCAAGTAATAGAAAAAACAGTTTAGTCATTCTGGCCATGGAGTCCTGACCAAAAATACCAGCAGAGACATTCTTAAAGTTCCTACTTTCCAGTGCTCTGAAGTAGCTCAGCTTCTCCCTTTCCAGGCCTACTATTCCAGTCTTTCTATCCATTTCCTGAGTGCTGATATCAATCTAACGAATTTCCTTGGTGCATAAGAGTTGGTTATGGCTGTGGTTGCCTGAAATCAAAGAATCCTATTACTTACCTTAGAACAAAATATACCAGTTAACTTCAAGACCTACTCAAAAGTAATCCAATTCATGTTAATACGAAGAATGAGGATATTTTTCTCATTTGGCCAAGCTCAAAAATAGGTTCATCTTAAATTATTCAATAATTACTGTTATTTCATAGTGCAAAATCAGTGGCAATTAATGGTAAAGGATGTGGTAATTAGCATCTCACTTTAATTAAAATTCTAATCAATGCTAACGTTACTGAACTCATCTATAAACTGAATCAATCTATATGAGATAGAGTCTATGTGTCACTTATATTTATAATACAAGTCAATTTAACATTCTCGCTTTTTCAGGTAATACTTCTACAGAAAGATACACTAAAGGAAATTTATTTAATTTACTAAGAAAGTAGCAATAATATATTTATCACAGCTAATTTTAAGAACTTTCCTGTGGTTTCTACCTCTAAATTGCTAGATAGTCAGCTAATGTCTTTTCAGATTTTCAATAAGAATTATTCAGGAATTTGGCCATTAAAAAAGACAACCATGATTCAATCTTTTATTCTCCCAGTTTTACTGAGGTAAAACTGACAACTTAAAATTGTATACATTTAAAGTATACAACTTGATGATTTGATATACGTATACAATGTGAAATAATCACCACACTCAAGCTAATTAACATATCCATTACCTCTTATAGATGTTTTTGTTTTTATTTTGGTGAAGAGAACACTTAAGATCTACCTCTTAGAAAATTTCAAGTATACAATATTGTTAACTATAGTCATGTTGTACATTAGATCTCCAGAACTTATTCGTTTTGCATTACCAAAATTTTGTACCCCTTGACCAACATATCTCCTCCCCTCATTCTATGCTTCTATAGCCCACATATAAGTGAGATCAACACAGTGTCTTTCTCCGTTTGTTCATTTCACTTAGTATAATGTCTTCCAGGTTTATCCATGTTGAAAATGGCAGAATTTCCTTCTTTTTAAAGGTGAATAATCCATTATGGTGTGTGAACATGTATCTAGGCACACGGTTTTTATACATATATAAAATGTGATATATGTATCACATTTTTATTCATCTGTCGATGGACATTGAAGTTGCTTCCACTTCTTGGCTACTGTAAATAATGCTGACATTAATATGAGAGTGAGGATATCTCTTTGACATCTTGATTTCATTTCCTTGGATAAATACTCAGAAGTGGGATTGCTAGGTCATAAAATAGTTCTATTTTTAATATTTTGAGGAACCTCCATACTGTTTTCCAAAGTAGCTGTACTAATTTACATTTCCATCAACAGTGTACAAGCATTCCCTTTTGACATATTCTCATCAACATTTGTCATCTATTGTCTTTTGATAACAGACATCCTAACAGGTATGAGGTAATATTTTATTATGATTATGATTTGCATTTCCCTGATAATTAGTGAAGTTGAGCATCTTCACGTACCAGTTGGTTATTGTCTTTTTTGGAGAAATCTCTGTTCAAGTTTGTCCATTTTTTAATTAGGTTATTTTTTTGCTTTTGAGAGTTCCTTATGTATTTTGGATATTAACTCCTTATCCAAAAGATAGCAAATATTTTTCCCATTCTGGAGGTTGCCTTTTCACTTGTTAACTGATGCTGTGCTGTGCAGAATCTTTTTTTCAGTTTGATACAATCCCATTTTAAAAATTTTTGCTCTTGTTGTCTGTGTTTTTGGTATCATATCCAAAAAACTAATGCCCAGAGCAATGTCAAGAAGCTATTTCTTGATTTTTTTTTCATCTTCTGAGCTACTATTTATTATTTATTAAAATTTATTTAATTTTTTATAGTGACATCGGTTAACAAAATCCAGTAAGTTTCAGCTGCACACTTTAACAGTAAGGCATATATATATGTATATGCGTATATATATATATGTATATGCGTGTATATATATATATACACGCATATACATATATATATGCATATATATGTGTATGCATATATATACATATGTTTACACTATGTGTTCACCTCTCATAGATTTCTTTCTATCACCACATATTTGACCCCTCTGACATTTTTTTAATAGTTTTATAGTTACAGGTCTTATGTTTATGTCTTTAATCTACTTTCAGTTGATTTTTGTACAACTTATAAGGGTCCAATTTCATTCTTCTATACATGGGTATCCAGCTTTCCCAGCTCCATTTATTGAAGAGAGTATATCTCCATGTGTGCTCTTGGTACCCTTGTCAAAGATCAGTTGGCCGTAGATGCGTGGATTTATATTTGGGCTCTCTATTCTGTTCCAGTGGTCTATATGTCTGTTTTAATGCCAGGACCATACATTTTTGAGTGCTGTAAATTTATAATATATTTTGAAATCAAGACATGTGATGCCACCCACTTTGTTCTTCTCAAAATTGCTTTGGCTATTCAGGGTCTTCTGTAGTTCCATATGAATTTTGGGATTGTTTTTTTCTATTTCTGTGAAAAATGCCATTGAGATTTTGACAGTGATTGCACTGAATCTGAATATCACTCTGGGTAATATGGACATTTTAACAATTTTAAGTTTTCCAATCCATGAACATAGGCGGCCTTTCCATTTATCTATGTCTTTTTAAATTTCTTTCATTGATGTGTAATGTATTTAAATTTTCAATGTACAAATCTTTCACCTCTGTGGTTAAGTTTATTCTTAA